CCGCCCCTGCCCCGCCGCCCACCCCCGCTGCCGCCTCTACCAGGCGCTGGAGCTCTCCCCCGGCCGGAGGATCAACTGCTCGGGGATCGTCCGCGGGGAGGAGAAGGCCATCCAGGAGGCCCAGCTCAGCAACCTGGAGGTTGGGAACAAAAGGGATTCCCTGACGCCCGGCGAGTACCTGAACATGACCAAGGACTGCAGCAGCTTCAAGGAGACCCGGCGGTTCATTGAGTTCCCGCTGAGCCAGGAGGAGGAAGAGTTCCCCATCGCCTACTCCATGGTCGTCCACAACAAAATAGAGATGTTCGAGCGGCTCCTGCGGTCTCTCTACGCCCCCCAGAACGTCTACTGCATCCACATTGACGCCAAGTCCCCGGCTGCCTTCCAGGAGGCCGTGCGGGCCATCGTAGCCTGCTTCCCCAATGTCTTTGTGGCTAGCCGCCTGGAAAAGGTGGTCTATGCCTCCTGGTCCCGGCTGCAGGCCGACCTCAACTGCATGCAGGACCTGTTGCAGAGCCCTGTGCCATGGCGCTACCTCCTCAACACCTGCGGCACCGATTTCCCCATCAAGACGAACGCCGAGATCATCCGTGTCCTGAAGGTGCTGCAGGGGCGGAACAGCATGGAGTCAGAGAAGCCCTCGGCCATCAAGCAGGAGCGCTGGCTGTACCACCACAAAGTGGGGAAGTTCATCGTCCGGACAGCCACACAGAAACTGCCGCCACCCCACAACTCTCCCATGTTCACGGGCAACGCGTACATCGCGGTCACGCGGGCCTTCGTGCAGCACGTCTTCGAGAACCCCACGGCGCAGCAGTTCCTCGAGTGGGCCAAGGACACCTACAGCCCCGACGAGCACGTCTGGGCCACCCTCAACCGCATGCCCGGCGTGCCAGGCGCCATGCCCCAGAATGACAAGTTCCAGCTCTCGGACATGAACGCCCTGCCCCGCTTGGTCAAGTGGCAGTACCTGGAGGGTGACACCAGCAAGGGCGCGCCCTACCCGCCCTGCACCGGCCAGCACCAGCGCGCCGTCTGCATCTACGGAGTGGGCGACCTGCCCTGGATGCTCCAGCAGCACCACCTCTTGGCCAACAAGTTCGACCCCATGGTGGACGACGCCGCCATCCAGTGTCTCGAGGAGCACCTGCGCCACAGGGCCCTCTACGGCAGGGGACTCTGAGGAGAAGCCCCGGAGCCCCTCGCCAGCACGGAGGCGAGGTCAGCCGGCGGCGCCCCAGGGGCAGCGGGAGGGGTGGGAGGCCCGTGTCGTGAGGCGAGAGGGGGGCCGGCGCATCACCCGCGCTGGCGTAGGGATCTGAGCGCGGGGCGGATGAGCGGCGGAGGACACCCCAAACCACTCCCCCCCGCGAGGAGAGAGAAGTGGCGCCA